GAATTGATAGAAAGTTTGGAGCATGGAGACATGTCTGACCTCCGTCTAATAGGAATCAGCCTTGGGCTGATGCCAGTGGTGAGTCTCTCTCCCCTTCATGAAGTTAGAGGAGGTTAGATGCCTCCACTATGACATTTTTACAGAGGAGGAGAGATTACCTGCCATAGAAGAGTGGTTGGTGGTAACAATGAGATGGTGACACTTGAATCATCTTGATGGACGGAGAGGATTTGAGTTCCAGGTGAAGGGGGTGAGCCAAAAGCAGGAGGATAGCAAGGATGGTGTGTGAGCCCAGGGCTGCCGTCCTGAGAGCACAGGAACCTCAGGGCACACTCTGGGCAGGTCACACCCTACCCAGCAAGTGGGCATCCTGGAGTTCTGAAACGCCAAGTCCCCAGGAGGTCCTGGGAGCATCCTGGGGCTCACTAATAGGTCGTGGGAGGAAGGAGGAAGCCAACCCTTGGCCTAGGCTGTCATCCTTCAGAGAGGGCTCCACAGCAGGATGGCTGGGATCCCAGGGAGGCCCCTCTCCAGGTCACAGTGGCTGTGTCTTTGCCCATGAGATAGAAACATCCCCAGGGAGCTTAGCTGATGGGGTTGGACCTGCAAGCATCCCCTACCCCAGACTCCTAGAGAGCTGTCTCCTTCCTCTCCTTGGCCAAACAGCCCCTGCTGCCTGACTGGCCACCAGTATCCACCCCCTCAGGTCTTCAGACCCTCCGTGTGAGCCAGGGTTTCCAGGACAGGCTCAGCTCTGCCAAACGAGGGCTGCAAATACCTAGTTGTGGGCAAGAGGAAAAGGGAGTTACTTAATTTTCCACAACAGTCCACGCAGGCCACAAGGGCTCTGCCAAGGAGGGGCCAGGACATGGAAACAGTGAGACGAGAGGCAAGGCCAGCAGGGTGGGGTTCCGGGCTGGTGTCTTCTGTCCCTGTCCCTGACCCATGCTGTCTTTCTCCCTGTCTCCTGCCTTTCCCTCTTCTCCTTTCTGTCCCATTTTGGCCCCTTTGCCCTCCTGAGCCCAAACCTGGAACAGATGCTAATGCTCCGGGTTTTTTTTTGTGTTTATTGGAAAATGGTGGTGCCCATCGCTGGCAGGTTTATACAAGCTTCCGCCAAGGAAGCAAAGTGAGTTCCCATGGCTTGTCAGAGTTGAAAACAGAGACAAGAGATGGAACTAGAAAGAGGCAGAGAGACAAGACAGGGGTCAGAGAAGAGAGACAGACAGATGGTAGGTAGAAGCATCAAGAGATGCACCAGGCCCCTGCCCCACCACTTGCTTGTCTTCAGGCTGACACGAGCTCAGCCTCCTTGTTCCGAAGTCTGTTTGCCCCAGGTTGGTCGCCAGGAGTCGGAGTGCTGACGGGGTTGGTTCAGCCACACCTTGTGTTCAGTGGGAGGAAACCTGTGTCACCTCGTGGGCCCCAGTGCCCTGTGGACATGCCAGGGGCCCACCAGGCTCCGTGCTGGCCCTGGGATGGCCCTCTGCCTCTTGGCCTCTTCTCCATCCTTCATGGTCCTCACTTCACGCTCCTTCTTTACTTGCCCCCCATCAGGGCTCCAATGTTATGCACAAGTCTACCTCGCACTGAGGTGGGGATGGCCTTGCCGGTGGCTGCGGGTGAGGACCCTATCCAACCCAGTGCCCCATCTGATTGGCTGAAGTCAGGCACTGCCTGTTGAAGGAAGGAATGAGTGAGTGAGTGAGGGGGGAATGGGTGAATGGTGGGGGACCCAGGGACCCAAGGGCCAGAGCTTTCTCTCAGCGCCATAGAAAAGGTGTCAAAGGGTACTCTAGGGTCAAGGGTCCTGGCTTGGGCCTTTCCCTCCAACCAGTCCCAGACTCCCACACCCCAGAAAAGCCCAGAGAAGCAAGCCCAGATGAGGATCTCCATTGTGGACCCCAGCTGGAGGGAGAAGGCGGCCTGAATAGTATCCCCTCTTCCCTCAAGATCATGTCCACCCAAACCCCCAACATGTGACCTTATTCAGACATAGAGTCTTTGCAGGTATAATTCGTTAAGGATCAAGGTGAATTCATCCTAATTCCAATGACTGGTGCCCTCGTAAGAGAGAAGAGGACACACAGAGAGGGAAAGGCCATGGGACACAGAGGCTGACATTGGAGTGATCCAGCCACAAGGCAAAGAATGGTAGGAGCCATGGAAAGCTGGGACAGGCAAAGGAAGGCTCTCCCTTGGAGCTGTCAGAGGAAACACGGCCCTGCCAACACCTTGGCTTCAGACTTCTGGCCTTCAGAACTGGGAGAGAAGTTCTCATTGCTTTAAGCCACCCAGCCCGTGGTAATTTGTACGGCCGCCCATGGAAACGAACGCAGGGAGACCCCCGCCCACTCATGCTGGGCTCTCCATCAGGCCCTGACGATAAGTTCTGGGCTCCACCCTAGGCAGGTCCTGAGGAGGTAGCTGAAGTTTTTGTGGCAGGCTGTGTCTGTCCCAGGTCTGAAGAAGGTGGCACATGTCCCCATGGGCCAGGGAGAGAGTGTCATCTGGGTGTGTCCCCAGCATTCTGCCTGGGTGCCTGAGGACCAGGGAATCGGGAGGAGGAGTGGGGCTGAAGACAGCTCTAGGTTTGTGTTGTGCACATGGGGGGTGTTTGGCATGAAGGCCTCCAGGATGTCTGGTCCGAGATACCCAGGGAGAGAGGACACATGAGGCAGCTGAGGGGAGGGGCGGTAAGGAGGTGTCAGGAGTGAACACAGAGGGCTGGCTGGAGGGGGTGAGTGTCCAGGAAGCAGGGAGCTCGGTGAGGCAGGCGGTGAGGGTAGGAGCCTGTGGGGCAGGCCATGGTCTCCCACCGATGAGGTCCAGGCCCACAACATGGGCAACCGCTTACGGGTGGAGAGGCTGGGGGGAGTTGTGAACTTAGCCCAGGGCAGTGTTCCCAAATAGGGGTTGAGGAGCAAAGAGGACCCTCACACTCACTACCTCCCAACCCTGAAGCATGAGGTAGGTTCCACCCAGGAGGGCTTTCCTCAAGGAAGCAGCAAGAAGGCAGTGAAGGGGCTATGTGAGCAAATTCCCCTGTCCTTTGAGGCTCAGGGGTCAGTCCCTCAGGACCCTCTCTGAGGCTCCATCCCAGCCCCAGGCAGCCTTCTGTGTGGGACAGGTCTTTGTGCCATCCATCTGCCCCCCTCCTCAGTCTGGAGGGTAAGAAGGTTTTACAGGTCCCACACGAGGTGGCCTGGGCCCTCCAGATGTGGTCTTGGCCTTTCTCTGCCCTGCTGGGAGCCCAGGAGGCTGGCCTCACAGGCCACATCTCCCAGACCCCTGCCCTTTTGCGTCTGGTCAGGTGTGGCCAGTGAAGGCACCAGCCTGAGACCAAAGGGCAGGAGGAGAGAGGCTGGATATGTGTTCCTCCGCTCCCTCCCTTCAGGCCTTGGGGCGCAGTCTACATCCCTCTACTGCAGCCCGTTCCTGCAGTGGGCTGGGAGGGGAGAGGGGAGGGCAGACCCTCACCATGGCTACCGTTCACTGGTTCTGGAAACACCATCCTCTCTCTCCTGTCCTCCCTTCAGTCAGGAGAGCTCAGGGCTCCCCACTGGTGTCTGTCCCTTGACCCCTGGTCCTGCCCACACCTTTGTAAACTCTCAGTTGCCCTTTGAGATGGGAGCCATCTGTTCCTGCCAGCGCCCTGGCATTTACTGGGCGTAGATAAAAGTCAGTGGAGGGTAGTTCAGTCTTTGCTGCCTTATATCAGGGAAAACTGAGGCCCAGAGAGGGTACGTGACCTGCCCAGGCCCATCCAACCCCCGGGTCGAGTCTGGAGGCTGCTCTAAAGAGGCGGTGGAGAGGCCAAGGCTTGGGGACTCGGCGTGCCTCCCACCCCCCTCCAAGCCTGGTCCCTGTGGTCACGGAGCACCTCCTCTGCAGAAGCCGGATGTGTCCGCTTCAGTTAATAAACCCATTAGGGGTATTGGCCCCTCCCAGAGTCAGGCGCCTGGGAACCCAGCCACACCCTTCTTCTCTGACCCCCTGACCCCAGAGGCGAGGCAGGAGGCACCTCTCCCAGACCCTCCTCCACCCTTCATCTCCCTCACTGTGCTCTGGCACCTCCCACCTGCCCCCAGCCCCCAAATGCTCCCAGGCCTTTGAACGCACTGTTCCTGCTACCTGGGCCCCCTTCCTGTGCCCACCTGGAACCACCCTGCTTCTTCAAGGCCACACCCCCCAGGAAGCCCCCGCTGGAGTCTCAGGCAGTCCACCCCGGCCTGGGTCATCCCAGACCCTTGAGGCCCAGTGCGGGGTGGGGATACTGATGACGATGAGCCATGCTCTGAATGACTTGGGGTTGCAGTCAGCTCTGGGCAGAGACCCTGCTTCTCTTGGGGGGGGGCTTCACACACTCCCTGACCACCTGCCCCAACCTGGAGGGCGTCCCCACCCGAAAGTGCACCAGCTGTGGTGGGTGATGTTTGGAAGTTGGACGTCTTGTGCCCTCCAGGGAGGAAGGGCAGAGGGGCAGCTCTAAGTCCCCCAGCCAGCCAGGAGGAGAAGCGAGCTGGAGAGTGGGTGCACTGGGGATGGAGCATGCAACCTGAGGCCTCTTCCGTGAGAGGAAGGCTGGCTGCAGCGCTAGGGCGAGCACCCCTCGCTGCGCATGCGCAGTCTTCACAGTTTACGCAGCCTCGCTGCTGCCCAGTGGCGCGCGTGCGCTCATCTTCATTTTACAGATTGAGCCGAAGGGCCCCAGGTGGCTCCGTGGCCCTAAGAACCTCCCCTATGGTCCTCCTCTCCCCCCACTCCGTCCAGAAGCTCCCAGAGGAGCTGGGGGAGTGGTGGCAGAAGACTGTCCAGGTGAACAGTCAGACACACAGTGGAGGTGTCGGGGACGTTTATTTCCCACAGGGACTGGCCCAAGCTTTGGGGGTTTCATACACCCCCCCCCAAACTCTCCTTTTAAAAATCTCTCTCCCTGGCCTGTGACGCTGCAGGGCGTCCTTGGACTAGGGACGAGGCTGAGGGGCAGATGGGCGTCCTCAGAGGTTCCCCACGGCTGGAGGGCTGAACGCGTGGTGAGTGTTGTATTGTCTCACGCACACGGACTCCTCTGGGCCGGAAATGGGTGTGCTTCCGCAGGTGTTGAAGCTGGGAGGTAGGTAGGAGAGAGAATGGTGAATTTAGGGCCTGGGGGAGGGCCCACAGCCACTGCCTGGAGCTCCGATCCATTGCTCCGGGGAAACTGAGGCGCCACGGGCCAGCTTCTATTAGCCAAAGGGAATCAAACCATGGCTGTTTCTCTGTTGTCGTTTGTAACTGCCGTAGCTGGCCCGTCTGCGTGGCGATCCCCACGGACAGTGGTGCGGAATGCCTGGCCTGCGCCTTCGCATTGTGCTCCCAGGGTTTCCAGTAGCTGCTGTCTTTCTTCCGCCTCCCTGCCTCTGTCACCACCCAGCCCCTACGCTCTGCCTCTCCTCGCCCCACATGCCCAGGGATCCCCTGCCCGTGTCGAAAACCCACCACTGGCTTCTTCTGCCATCAAAGACTCCTGGCCCCTTTCCCCTCCTCCACCCATGCTTCAGAGGCTAGTTCCCCTTTTCCTCTTCGAAACTTCATGGACACCCCTCTCCGCCAGGCCCCAGCACCTGAGCTTTCTATGAAGTCGTGAGGCACAGCTCAGTGCTTCACCTGAAAGCTATGCACCTTGCCTGGAGGGTCTGGCACTTGGGGGAGAGTCGCCTGATCCCTAGTTGCAATTTCATCCGCTGCCACCAGGGGGCGAGTGGCGCCCACTCAGAAAGTGTGGGCCCAATGGGCAGACCCCCACCCTGTCCTGCGGGCTCCTCGGCAGGGAAGATAAGGTCTCCAACTCAGAGCTCAGAGATTCAGGAATGGTGTCCATCCCTGCTGCATACATGTTACCCTGCAGGAAAAAGCCTTCCAGCTCGGGCAGCAAGGAGGCGCTGTGCGAGGGGACCCGGGCCAGGGCAGCTGCTGGGGGAAGCCAGGTGAGAGGAGGAGAGACCAGAGGTAGTCCCAGAGTGGTGGCCTGCCCACTCACCAGGTATAGATGAGCAGGGCCAGGAGGGCAGTGAGGAGCACGGCCAGCAGGACAGACAGGAAGGCGATGATGACCACGGTGCCGGTGGTCAGCCGCCCCGGCGCAGCCTGGAGTACTTCCGCTGAGGGGGCCACACAAGCAGGCAGGCAGGGTGGGGAGGAAAAGAGGTTTCGTTTGATCTGAGAAGGGGCTTCAGGCTGGAGGGGCACCTGCAGACACTAGCATGTTCATGGGGGTTCTAGTAGGTGGCTGGCCTGGTCCCCAGCCCATCCCCAGTCCTCGGGATCCCCCCAGACCACTGGTCTCCAGCCCCTCGTGTTTGAGCGGCTCATTGGCCGATACCTTGCTGCAGGCGGGTCTCACTGGACCACTCTGTCTCAGCCACAAGCCCCCTGTCATCACTCATCACCAGGAACTTCACCCTGAACGAGAGACCCAGCACTGAAGGCCCCAGGGTCTGAAAACCTGACATTAAGTCCCCTGGACTCTCAGGGCCTGGGGAGGGCACCAGGGTTGGGGGTAGAGCAGGGGCTAAGAGCCCAGCAGAAGGGGTTCAAATCCCGGCTGTGGCATTTTCCAGCTGTGTGACCTTGGGTGCATCTCTCACCCTCTTGGGTCTCAGTGCCTTCATTGGGATGTGTGTGTGGGTGCTGGCACCTAACATCAGTGAGTCAAGCACTTAGGAGGAGGAGACTGGGGGACGCCGAGTCTGGGTGGGGAGACACCATCCGTGTGGTTCACACTGACCATGGAGGAAGGGGCTGGAGGTGAATTCAAGACCGAGAATTCAGCAAGGCCCGGGTCTGCCCACTGCCCCAGCTCCTGTTTGCAGGAGCACACAGCCCCCAGGGCCCTCTGAGGAGCCTTCCAAGCCCAAGTTTGGGCAGCGTGAGGTGTGCCCCTGCACCCCAGCCAGGGGCCAGGCGGAAGCACTCACCGGTAGGGGCCCGGGCCTGGCAGGGGGTGGTTGCAGCCCTTTTGGGTCGGTGAGCAGTGGGTGTTGTTGCCCACGCGGAGGACTTGGAGCTGGTTGCCGGCCTGCTTGCCCGGGTAGAGTGCCCGGTTGGCCCTCAGTGTGAGGTAGTAACCCTTCTGGGCTAGGTCAGCGGGGGCAGGAGAATCCTCCATCCTCTGGGGGGCAGTGAAGTTCTGGGTGGCTGAGGGTGGCACTGCGGGTCAGGTGGTGGGGGCCGAACGGGCAGGATTCCACCTACACCCCACCAGGCCAGATAGCTACCCTTGCAGCATCTCCACCCTCATACACCCCTGGTGCTGGTCCCAGGCCTGCCCACCATTTCACAGGGTCCACACATGCATACCCACCGTTGCTGTAAGCCACTACCAGCCAGATGGCATCAAAGTCGGAGACGCTTAGATGACTGAACTGACCCAGTGGCTGCTCCAAGGTGAAGGTGGACTGGGTGAGCTTCCCTGCCAGGGTGGCATTTGACAGCTGGGGCACGTAGCTGACATGCTCTGGGGGGTGGGGTGGGGGGACAGGCAGGGCAGAGAGAAGAGGCTGAACAGGGCAGGTCTCCCCCAGCCCATCCCCATGCCCTGGGAGTCAAAGTCTGGGGCAAGAGACATGGGTGGGTCTGTCTTGGGAGCCCCAATGGGAGGGAGGAGTTGGGGCTCTTTCCTGGGAGTCGGACATTGATTAGGAAGCCTCCCTGACAAGTCTGTACCCCACAGGCAGGGTGGACAGCCTGAGTCCAGCTCCTTGCCCCCACCTTTGGGATCCCACCAGGGGTGGTGGGAGGTCAAGAGAGAGGCTTAGTCAACCTCACCTTCATATCCTGCCCCTCCTGGGATGCCCAGGTGAGAGGCCCAGGAAGCCTTTTCCCCCAGCTGCAGGCAGAGTTCTCCTGGGTAGGGGTCTTTGGCTTTGTCGGAGTGAGACTCAAGGTGGGGTGAGCCTGAGCCCTTGGCCGGACTCTGCTCCTGATGTTTCCATTCACCTTGGGCTCTGTCTCTCTCTCTGGGCCTCAGTTAACCCACATCTCAAGTCCTTCCAACACCACCCACATTGGTTTGCGTTGTGAGAGGACTGACTTGGGGTTGAGAGGGATGGGGGACAACACAGGTAGGACCCCACTGAGACCCCAGAAGTTGGCTCAGAGTCTAGACCCCTTCTCCTTCCCTCCCAGTTCTCTGCCATCTTCCACCCTGGCCTCAAGACACCTTTGCCTTCAGGACCTTGTCCCCCCTCATAGCCTCACTGGGGGGCGCATGGAGGGAGGGCTGCAGGCCAAGCAGCCTCAGCCCGTATGCCAGCTGGGACTCAGGACTGGCAGCCTGGCCTGTGTCACTGTGCCACCTGGAGAGTTCAGAACCCCTGACCCTTGCCTCCAACTCCCAAAGACAAGAGGAACAGAGCCACAGCGCCCCTCCTCTCCCCGGCCCCCAATACTGGGGAGGAGCAGAAGATGAGGTGGCTTTTATGCAAGTCTCTGGAACCTGCTCCTTCTTTCAGCTCAGCTCAATGCAATCCATTCCCATTTAATCCAGCTCAATTCTCAACAAACCCCTGGGTCAAACCTCCAAGCCAGACCCTTAGAGGGTAGGGGTGGGGGGCTGACTCGATTCCTCCCTTCTCAGAGGTCCTATCTCTGAGGCCCAGTGTACCCGGCATACCAGGCTTGAGGAAGAAAGAGGAGTGGAGTGGCAGGGGCGGAAGGGGTGCTGGATCTCGAAGGGTCTCTCGTTTCAGAGCTGGCAAGGGAACAGTGCCTCCAGCCCAGGTCAGAGAGCTGCCTTGGGGTGAGGGGAGGGATGGGCTGGGAGACAGAGCACTTTCCTTTGTCCTGTCAGGTTCCTTTAAACCTCTCCTCAGGGGAAGGGCACAGGGGAAGAAGGAGGACATTTTTGGTGAGATTTGAGGTGAGCACTCAGGATCCATGGTGACGAGGATCCCAAAGTGGGGAAAGGCAGCATCGCTTGGTCCTCAGTCTTGAGAGGGTAGGTGTGTGTCTTGTGAGCTTGTTTGGTGGTCCTCCAGTTCTCAGACATGTGAGAGGCTTGGGAGGCAGCCAGGGCAGGTGGGCCTGTCCTCCTGAACCCAGACACGAGTAGGCCTCCTGCCTAGGTCCCCACCCTCACTTACCCAGGCATATCCCGCACCGGAGACCAGTCAACAGCAGCAGCAGAGGTGTAGACAGGAGGACGTGTTCCCCGCTGAGCCCCATGGCCAGGCCAAGTGTCCCTCCGTCTGTCTGTCCAAGGGTCTGTCTACAGCATCCACAGCCTCAGAGGCTCCACCGTCCTGCTGGGCTGGGGGAGGCTGCTTCTGGCACCTCCTGCTGCCCCTCCCGTGGTGCCCCTTCCTCCCAAACAACTGGTCGGACAGGTTTTGGGGCAGAATTTGGCATCACCAGGGAGGGGTCTGAAGAGAACAATCAGTTGCTGCCGCCGCCAAGACTTGCCTGGACACCCCCACCCCCACTGCAGAAGGGCCTGGCCAGGGAGAGGCCTGGGAAGGAGGAGGCAGGCCCTGGGGTCTAGACTGCCCCAGTGACAATCCTGCCACACCCCACTACATGGCATCTTCTCATCCAAACACTCCCTAACCTGGTAACTAAGGCTCCTCACAGCACCCTGGGTGCAGGGAGGCACCCTCATTTTCTAGAAAGGCCTAGCAGGAAAATGGCTTGTCCAAGATCACCGGCCAGCTAGCGTAGGACCTGGGGCCAGCAGGTCACACCCACTGCAAGGTAGGAGGAGGGCTCCTCAACCACCCTGTCCCTCCTGTCCGTGTCCAGGTGACCATCTGGCCTTTCCTCTTTTCCTCCTCCATCTTTGGTCACTGTCCTCCAGACAGAAGGTTCCAGATGGGGCCCAGGGTGGATGGGCAGAGCATAATACTCTTGGATTAGAGAAGAACCCCCCATGGGTTTCTGCCTCAGGCTCAACCCCCTGCCCCCAGTCTAGCCTGCACACCTAGCCAGAACCATCCTCCTAAAACTCCAATCATGCCAGGTGTCTTCTCAGCTGAAAATCCAACAGGTTTACATCACTGTGACCTAGTTCCCGGTGAGAGGAAGATTTCCCTGGGGGGAACTTGGATGTCCGCTCTAACTGATGAAAACTGCTGGAAGGAACCTCTGTTGAACAACTGAGCAGGCTGGGAGTGTCAAGCATGTTGAGGTGGGAAGAGGTTGAGAACCACTGACCACCAGGTGCTAGAAGTAGAAGGTCATATCAACTCACTCCTTACCACGTCCTTCTTGGAGCATTTAGTACTGAACCTTTGCATGTGCTATTCCCCTGCCTAAAAGGAGAATACTCCTACGGTTACTTCAAAACCCAGTTCAGATATCACCTCCTTGATAAAGTCCTCTGAGACACTCTTCCCAACCTGTTTCCCTGACCACCAAGCAGAATAAACCCCTGCTTTCTCAATTTTCCCATGGCGCTTCACACAGACTAGTGTCCTCGCTGGTCAGTTATCAGTTGGTCACACACAATCTACTCTCTTGGGGCCCAGTCTGCACTGGGACAAGTGGGAGGCTGCCCATCATCAGGAGAGTTGGCATTGTCACAGTCCCAGGAGCCCTGTCCTGTGAAAATCCTGGGTCAGCATAGAGAAGGCCAGTGTGGCTTCCAGACCCTAGCAGGTGCTGCTGCTCATTGTAGGAATGAACCATGAGCACCTCCAGCCTGGTCTCAAGTGTCATGTGACACATTCAGACCAACCCTTGAGTCCTGGAACTGAACTCACCCCCATGGCTCAATTTTCAGCCAAACAACAGACAGGTTGATACCCAACAGACACCAGGGAGGTATGCACTCCTTAGAGCAGTCGACTGTATGAGATCTAAAGAACATCCTTTGTCCAAGGACAAAGGTCAGAAGGTGAGAAGAGTTAGGAAAGAAGGGGGAATGGAAATGAGAAACAGGGATTAAGTGGGGTGAGTGATGGTACATTGTGGGGATTGCATTCAATGGCAGGAAACAAAATGTGTATGAATTGTTGAATGGAAAACTGATTTGCTCTGTAAACCTTCAGCCAAATCACAATAAAAAGTTAAAAAATAAAGTACTCCAAGCCCAAGGCCTACACCTAGGCCAAACCATAACCCTAATCCTTATCCTAACACTAACTCTTAATTTAACCCTAATCCCTAACCCAAACTCCTAGCACTTAACCCTAACCCTAACACTAGACCAAGTCCTAGGTCTAGCCCTAGCCAATCCATAATCCTAACCCCTAATCCCTAACCCTTACCTCTAACCCTATCCTAACCTTAAGAGCAGACCAAGTGCAATGAACAGTCCTGCCTGTATTCTCCACCCAGATGCAACCGTTGCTAACATTTTGCCATGTTTGCTCTGTCCCTCTCGTCTGTGTCTCTCTGCTTTGCCTCTTTCCTCTTGACCATTTGAAAGTCGGTGGAAGCAGGCACCATGCTTCTTGAGAAGAAGTGAGAAGGGCTTGCTTCATCCTTTTGAAAATACGTTCTTGCTCATTGACTCATCTCATCACATCCCCAGAAGTGGACAGGGCAGGAGTTAATCTGATGACACAGGTGAGAAAACTGGGCCCCCACAGAGAGAGGGACTTCCTGCAGCCCCAAGTGGGTCAACCGTGGAGATGGAAGTCTCCCTCAGGTCTTCTGATTGTATCTGTTTTAATTTGGGGGCTGCAGGGCAGATGGTTCGTTTTATTTCTTGGTCCATCGTGCCCTTCATCACTGCTCTGCACAAGGACCTGCTTTACTTTTGTTTTTCTCTCTTTGTTCCCATCTCCACCCCACTCCTGTTTCCTCCTCAGGCACCTGCTCTAGTTGGTTTGGTGTATGGCCTTGTATCAGTTACCTATGGCCACATAACAAGTTAACCCAAAATTCACAGCTTAAAACAATAAACATTTATTATCTCAAACTTTCTGCGGGTCAGCACCCGAGGAGCGGTTCTGGATGAGGGTTTTTCGTGAAGTTACAGTCAAACTTTTCATTGGGGCTACAGTCATCTGAAAGCTCAACTAGGGCTGGAGGATACATTTGGAAGGTGGCATGAGGCCTCAGTTTCTTTATGGCTGTGGGCAGAAGGTCTAAGTCCCATTACCATGTCTGAGTGTCCTCATGACACGGCGGCTGGCTGCTCTCAGAGCAAACAGTGCACAAGAGAAAAGCAGGAACCACACTGTCCTGTCTGACTTAGCCTCAGAGGTGACATTCCATCCTCTCTCCCGAGTTATGCTGGTCACACAGACCCAGCACCTGGGAGGAAGGGCACTGTACAGGGTGCAGTGCCCAGGGACTGTCTGGAAGGTTGGTGCAGTATGTGTGTAGCTTTACAGAACATGCACGGTTGTTCAGGGTCAGTGTTACTCATTTAAATGATTTTGTGCTACAGGCTTCCTTCTGTTTCTTACTTTTTCCACTCCACACAATTAAGCTCCATCCGTGTGTACATTGAATGACTTGCTGCTCTCTCCTGCATAAAATTCCACAGTGAACGACCCTCATATATTACTTGTCCACCCTGAGTGAGGGCCTTGAATTCCCCAGGGCTACAGACCGCCCTCCTGCGTGAGCATCCTCATGCGTGTCCCCTTATGGACCCGTGTGAGGATCTCCCTGGGACTTTTACCCAGGGGCGAGATGGCTAAGTGATGGGGAAACACGCAAACACCATTGCCCCAGATACTGCCAGACTGGTGTCTGGCAGGGTGGCACGAGATTACATCCCCATGGAGGCACGTGAAGGCTCCTGTTTCCCTACATCCTCACAGACACTTGTTGTTATTCAACTTTCTAACGTTTCCCAATCGAAGGGAAATAAAATGCTATTTGATTTGTAAGTGGCTTCTCTCAGCTTACAGGTGGGTTTAAACACCTGTGTGCTGACCATTTGTGTGTCTAATTCTGGGATTGGTCTGTTCATAGCCATATAAAATGAGATTATATTATTATTATTATTTTGGTCTTTTTCTTGCTGGTTTACTGGGTGGCCAGGGGCAGATTTACTGTAATGCTGTTGTTGTTGTTGTTATATGCCGTCGAGTCGGACCCAACTCATAGAGACCCCTCCTTGGGTTTCCGAGGCAATATCACTACGGAAGTAGATTGCCCCATCTTCCTTCTGAGGAGTGGCTGGTGGGTTTGAACTGCCAGCCTTCTGGTTAGCAGTCCAGTGCCTTAGCTACTGTGCTACCAGAGCTCCCACTGTAATGCTAGTGAAGCATAAGCCTCAAGTCTCCTACTTGCCCTGTGCAGGAACAGACCAATGGGAACAGAGAAAGGTTAGAAACAGATCATTTATTTTATATAGGAGAAACTGACGTCTGCTCAAGGCAGCCCAGCAAAGCAACAGGAGGAAAATAGAAATGGGCTCTGTCCCCTACGCCTGGAATAGGCCTAGTCACATCGTGACATGGGCGCATGCATGGCTTTACTTAAAGAGAACCGCCCATGTATTTTGGTTACCTCTCTAGTGCCACTCTAGCAGGAATACCACAGATGGGTGGATGGCTTTAACAAACAGGAGTTTATTCTCTTACAGTTTTGGAGGTTAGACGTCTGAGTTCTAAGTGCCAAGCTCTAGGGGCTGGATGAAAGCCCCTTGTGTTAGGCTGGGTTCTCTAGAGAAGCAAAACCAGTAAAGCTTATATATATATATATATAGAGAGAGAGAGAGAGAGAGAGAGAGAGAAATTTGTCTTAGGAAAATGGCTCACACATTTATAGAAGCTGGCAAGTCCCAAGTTCTTGGATCAAATGTTAAGCTGGAGGCTTTTCCTGACTCATGCAGCTAGCTACAGGGGCTGATGAACTCAAGGTTGGCAGGGAGTATACTGGCTGTTGACACCAACAAATGATGAATCCAAGATCTCCAGGCCGAATGGTGGGTTGTTTGCTCACGGACAGTTGTAGGCAGCACAACAGGATCCTGATCCACAGAAGAGTGTCTCTTTTCCCAGAAGGTCCACAGATATATTGGAAGCAGGCCACACCCCTAGGGAAACTCCCTTTCAGTGGATTGGCTGCTCAAAACATATACATCCGATCTCATCATGGGAATAACCCACATCACAAATGCTTAAACCACTCAGAATTGTGGTTCAGCCAGGTTGACACACAGCTCCAACTATCACACCCCTCGACCTTGGGCTTTGGCTCTGCCTCTTGCTTCCAGCCCACTGGAGCTGGAGGCGTCTCTTCACTCAGGCAGCTGCTGACTGCTGAGGCTGACAAACCCAAGGTCCATAAGTAAAATGGCACAGTCCCAAGATTATCAAGCAACACGGTAGGCCACTAATTCAAGTCCATTAACAGTCCCAAGATTGGCAGACAACATGGCAGGCTGCTGAAGGAAGACTCAGCTACCTGCAGCATTCAAGCGTCCCAGAAGCTCCAAGCCAGTCCCA